AATTCTGGACTACTTGGATTTGAAGCGTCAAATTTCGACGGTAAGCTGTAAACACAATCACTAATTAGCTTAGCTAAAAAGCTACTGAAGCTAAGGTATGATTGGTGCATCTACTCCTTTAATATATTTTATAATAGTCGTTTCATAACATTTTGACATTTTTGTTACGAAAGACAATCTGTATCGTTTGAAAAAATGGATGAAAATAGAAATTTCCGATGAAATATTCTTTTCGAGTATCTTTGCACAAAGATAAAATATGGCGTGAAAAGATTCAATTCACGGCTGTCTCCCTCTGAATGAAATGCTGTGAAAAGAGCGGCGATATTGACTTAGTGGAAAATCAACCGTCTCGGTCTAAAATTGACCTTGTCAACAAAGTGTAAAACAATATCGTCGATCGAAACATTTATGTTGTAACAGGTTGAATAAATTTCTTTCCATAGTAACAAACGAAAAAGATATTTTTCTTATAAGTTTAAAGGTGATTGTTTGTAATTCAAACGAATTTTCATTCGATCGACAGATATGTTTTGAAATTATCTGGTTGTCTATCCAGAACAGAATGACAAAAACTTCCATTTAAATCCAATCATAAAGATTAAAAATAATTGCTCATTGTCACCCAAACCTATAATTTCTTTTAGTGTAATTTTCCGTATGTGGTTGCGTTAAAAAAAAATCGCTTGCACAGTAGTCTACTAATGAGAAAAAATACCAAAAAAATCGTAAAAACTGACCTTGCTGATATTTGAAGTTCAAAAGCAATTACTTGACAGATTTACAACTAAATTACTATTAATTCACGATATACACTAAACTGTCCACTAGGTATAAATAACTGTTACAGTACAGACTGGTATTATATATAGGAACACTAATCTCAAAATGAGAACCAGTAGATTAAAGAGACTCGTCCACGTAACAAAAGACTTCCATTATCATGTGTAAATATGTACTGTTATAACATGAACATAACACTTAGCCTTGACACAGTGTTTGTCTTGACCTTACACACTCGACTTCAAGTCTTACTATCGTGTAGTAGTTCTTGTAGATTATGTGTAATGACAGGTGTTGCCAGAGAGGGAAGGACATGATCGACGTTCGAATCTTCCGGATGTTACTGTGCGACTAAATTAATAAATCAATCAGTCGGCAGTTTTTGTATTCCTGTATATTTGACTGAAAAAATACAGGATTTAATATACGATGACTTGCCAGGCACGATGATATACGCCCAGCTTTTTTCCTAAGTAAGAACATTTTGCAGAACGGCAACCATCACCAGTAATTTTCAACTTCTGTTTTTATATACTCCTTGGGCAAAATTTTGTCAAAGTCCGTTAAAACATTGTAAAATGTTACCGACCCAAAAATTGAGCGCTCTTCGAAGAACAAGGGAAATAAAGTTCAACTTATCAATAAACCACATCAAATATTTTCTTGGGTTTCTTTTAATTTATCGATAGAGTTCATCTTTAGGTGAAAATGAAAGTAAAAATGCCAGAATCCGTATAAAAATTGTAGTGCCTTCTAGAGTGTTTACGAGCTAAAAATTAAAGGTCAAGTGCAATATTTTTTTTAAATTGTCAGTTTTCAAAAGGGTTCATATTGGGTGATAAAAAATAGATTAACCAATTTTCGCCCAAAGTGTTGACGGGCATTTGTGGCGTTTCATTTCATGTAGGCGTATACAAATTTTTCTACAGAGATGACTTATTTGTAGCAGATCGACCTTTGGCCTTATTGTATTTCACATCAATACTATTTTATATCTTAAACAGATGGCAACAAAAGTCGATATTAACTGACAATCAGCTAAAATAACTAACATAACATGAAATTTGCAAAGAATAAGGGCTGTCTTTATTTGGCTTACATATTTTATCACTACAATCAGCGCAAATTTACGGATGAGTGCACAAGGTAATAAATCTGTTGTACATCAACAGTAAATTGTATTACAAAATAATGGTTATTATCAAATCTCAAGCAGGCTCTGAAGTTGAATAATACTATATTGATATTATTTTACTGTTTGTACATAACTGTCCAGGTAGTCGAATAATTCAAAGGTATATGTTTTAAGTACCTATATATTATTAGACGGCTAAAGGGATCAACATATCGGTCGATGTGACGTAGCCTGCCCAAGATATAAATATGGAAAAGCCTAATTTGTAATATACGTGCTTGGTTGACTACTAGTCTTTCAAGGTTTAAGCTTATATTTCGTTCCTTCAGAATAACTTGCAAACGATTTCGTGCAGCCACGAGAACAAGTACTGCTTTTTACACTTAACTGGGGACACGCGTTTAAAAACGCCAGATGTCTGAAGATCTGAAGTTTGTTATGATAATACTCAGAATGTAAATATATAAAATACTAAAGTAATATACTATTACTTTGCCTGTGTATTGGAAAATACCAACACTACCAAAAACAGTGATAAATAATATTGATATAAATTCGACCAAATTAAATAATGAATTCGTCAGATCATGGTTTAGATAATATTTATGATGTCATCCTTTGAGCTATTTATCCATTATCTAGTAGATTGTATGGGTGTTGTTAGTAGAAATCTTGATCCATCTTAGTTAACAGTTTTTTATGTCTGTTTCCTGGTGGTTTGTTTTGCCGGAGACTTAATTGATCCATCTTAGTTAACAGTTTTTTATGTCTGTTTCTTGGTGGTTTGTTTTGCCGGAGACTTGATCCATCTTAGTTAACAGTTTTTTATGTCTGTTTCCTGGTGGTTTGTTTTGCCGGAGGCTTACTTGATCCATCCTATTTAACAGTTTTTATTTTCTGGTTCCTGGTGGTTTGTTTTGCCGGAGACTTACTTGATCCATCCTATTTAACAGTTTTTATTGTCTGTTTCCTGGTGGTTTGTTTTGCCGGAGACTTACTTGATCCATCCTATTTAACAGTTTTTATTGTCTGTTTCCTGGTGGTTTGTTTTGCCGGAGACTTGATCCATCCTATTTAACAGTTTTTATTGTCTGTTTCCTGGTGGTTTGTTTTGCCGGAGACTTACTAGATCCATCCTATTTAACAGTTTTTATTGTCTGTTTCCTGGTGGTTTGTTTTGCCGGAGACTTACTTGATCCATCCTATTTAACAGTTTTTTATGTCTGTTTCCTGGTGGTTTGTTTCACTTTCATTGACACCCGAAAAAAAAACCGGAACCACGTCTTGGACATAAAATATAATTAATATATAGTTGGACATATCAACTCAATTTGAGGTGAAGGCCTTGAGAGAGAAGCATTTAAAGTTTTAAAACGATTGCAACATTTCGTTTAATATGCACACGGCATCCCCAAATGCGAAATTATGTGAATCGCTTTTATAAGTCCCACTTCAACTTAAGACTATGAACAAATGCTTGTGTGTGCGCGTAACTAAAGCTGTCTGCTTAGAGGTAAATATATCTACGCATGCGTATTTACGTGACCATTCAAAATTGCAGAGCGCAACGGG